CTTTCCGAAGCTGAAATACCAACTGCAGTACCAGCAACTTTACCTGAACGTCAACTTTCCCAAGCTGAAATACCATCCGCAGTACCAGCAACGTTACCTGAATGTCAACTTTCCCAAGTTGACATACCAACTGCAGTACCAGTAACTTTACCTGAACAAACAAAATCTATAAAAACCACTGAGACTGAATTTTTAATTGAGGATAACCAATTACAAATCACTAATAAGGACACAATAGATGAAACTCAAAAGCAGTCTTTGACTGATATCACAAAATGTTTGATTGATAGTGAGAGTAGCCATTTCATTGTGGTTAGCTCGCCTGAAAGCACCAGAATAGACAAAGACTTGCCAGCTGATAGCGTTAAAGTTACACCTGAAGTGGAAGTAGTTATTCCAGGCGAAATAGTCTCTACAACTGAAGCAAGTGTCATCGATGTTACTGTAGAGGGTGTTGAAAAATCTCCCCTAAAGGAGAAAGAATCGATTGTAGAGACAAGTGAGCCCGAAAATGAACCTATAAATAATGAAAATATTACGACTGACGCACAAAGTGATTTAAAGAATACTTCTATTCTTGATGCAACAAAATCTTTTCTGGGTACGGAATCTGAACATTCCTCAATCGGTCTTAAGGTAACTAAGATCCAAAGTGAGCCAGAAAAACTAACTTCCATCCTTGACGATGTAAATACAGATAAAATGACCATTCAAGAAAAAGTCACCGTGACTCCTACTGACATACAATCCGATGATAACAAATCGATGACAATTGCCAAAGGCGAAATCAGAGAAAGAGATGTAGAAGAAATGCTTTCTCCGGACGACCAGAAGGAAAGTGAAGAGGTCGATTTGCCTCGTCAAGATGTAGCGCATACGTTGCAAGATACAAATATTTTGATATCTAAAACTGACGACCGAGTAACGATAGTAACATCAGAAGGTTTAATATCTCCAAAAGCTGATGTTGAAGTTTTTAGTAAAGATTTAGATCGAAAGATTCCTTTGCAAGTACCGTCAAACGATAAAGATATCCCTATTGTTTTAGACGAAGATGAAAATAATCTGATTATAGATAACAAATATCTTGAAACTATACAAAAAGATTCACAGTTTGTGGGTTGTCAGATGCAAGAACAATATGGTGATATAAAATGTATAAAAATAGTTAAACAAAAAGTACTTATTGGTGACCAAGAACACACCACTGAAGAAATCGTCGAAGTGCCAACTGATGGCTCTCTACCCAAATCCCATTTTACCACACAAATTGATCTTTCTATAAGCAAAACCAGCTTACAAGAAAAAGAACCAATCAAAGCATCAGACATTTATGCAAAACCAGTTGAGACTACGAAAGAGAAATTAGGTTTTGAAAATACTATTGACTTTATCACGAGTGAAGCTGCTCATACATCTCAATTACTGAAGTCACTAAAAGATTTATCTGAAAAACCACAATCGGATGAAAAACCTGAAGGTGTCCATAGTTTATTAGAATCGGTTGATATCGTACCTGAACAACCTCAAATCGAAGAATCTCAATCGAAAGACATAACTACACCAACTGTTAAGTACGAGAATGAGCCAAGTATAGTATCAGAGTCTGACAGTGTTGCAGTTCCAACGGTGCAAAGTGAATTACAAAAAGTTGTTAATATAGATGGAAGTACACAAGACGAAACGCATATGTTAAGTCTTGTGACTGTTGATGCTGGCAGTACGCAGAGGACGGTTGATGTTACTCCAATACATACAGAATCTCCAATTACTGAAGCTGACATAGCCGTTCAGCCTGCGACCTCAGAGGTATCATACATAACGCAGTTCGAGCCGCAACAAACGGCACGTGATGAACCTTCAGAAATTACAGTAACAACGACACCAGCTACTGATTCAAAAGCAGAAATTACTCGATTCATTGATTTAGAACGACATGATACACATCTACGTGACATGAAGTTAACTGGGCCCGAAAATAAAGCGATACAAGCCGATATTCCAAAAGACGACACACGTCTGAGTACTGCGCAAACTGTCGATGTTTTTATGTCTATTGAAAAGACTGATAATATCAATAAAACCGCACCTAGTGTACAACTGGATCTTAAAGTTGAAAATTTAGACCAAGGAGTTTCGTCAATTGTGAAGAAAGATGTAGATGTAATTCTTCCAGCAGATATAACAATCACTAAAGAACCAGCTAAGCCATTTGTAGAAACAGAACCTGTTCCAGAAACTTTAACACAACATCCAAAGACAAGTGAAACACCTAAAGAGAAAGACAAGGTTAAAAAGAAACCTAAAAAGAATAAACAAAAACGTCCATCAGAATGCAGCGATTCTATTGAAATAGAATTACACACAGAAACAGACCGGACTATTAACGATACAGAAAGTTCATCTCTGGGACATTATGTGGAGCTTCCTGTCTCACCTCATCTCGATTCTCCAAAGCCCACAGAAAATGTTATACAAACAAGTATTACACAGCAGGCTGACTTTGAGTCATCTCCTGTTTCTGCAGTGTCGGTTCCTGAAGATAAGGGCTATGAACCGGAAGATATATCTTTGTGCCCAACACCTTCGCCAGATAAAAGGAAACGGGGCAAAAGACGAAAACCTAAAGTAACTAGTGAACTGACAACATATCCTAAGCAACAAACCACAGAAGATGCTACGCTAGTATCTTCCTCAATTGATACCGACGAGGATCTTGGGCGATTGAAAGATACGGAAATTCAAGAAAAGGTCAGAAAAGAAGACACTAACCTAGAAGAACCAAATGGTTACCTTTTGCCAAAACCAGAACTAAGTGAAATAATAAGTTCTGAGACTATTTCCAATTCACCAAAGGAAGAATCATGCCATACTATAAGCGATGCTTCAGACGTAAGCACTGTTAAGATTGTCGAAGAATGCGTAACGGGCAGTCCTGAAATAGTGCACGACAAAATTTCAACAACTGTAACTTACCCAGTACCAGTCGTCGAAGAAATTCTGACACAAGAATATTCGGTACAGACTTCGCCTGAAACTGTACCTGAATTGGAAATGGTTGAAACTGAGAAAGCTGTTCTACCACCACCTGAAACAGCAGATACTAATTTACAAACTTCGCCGACACCAGTTGACGAAGTCTTTGTACAAACTTTGCCTAAAGAAGATAAAGAAGTTCATACCCAAACAATTTCCATAGAAACATTGGAAGTACAAGACTCTGAGATTCAGACAAGTAGAATTAATACGCCTGAGGTTAAAGCGCAATCGGAGGTTACGACTCAAGTCATTCCACATGATGTAAGCTATTTAGAAGAAAAGAATTTACAAACGTCACCTATACCGGAATTACAAGAAAATGTCGACGTCTCAGAAGTATCTCCAATCGACGTTGAATCTATTGAAATTCAGACGTCTCCATGGCCTCAAATACAAAAAGATGAAAAAGGAACTGAAGTTACTATTGAAACTGCAGATACAAACGTCCAAACTTTACAACATGGTATTGTTGACCAAGAAACCTCCACTAGCCCTGAAAAAATGGCTGATCTAATAGAGAGCAGTGTCCAAACTTCAGATGTTATAACGATCAGTAAGTTTACTCAATCCGATGAGGTATCCTCCGTGGAGCAAGACATTCCCGATGTTACATTGGATAAAGAATTTACAAGGCTTCCTGTTGATCACAAAGAACAAAAGACTACAACATTAGATTATTCGCAACAAACTTCTCCCACACTTATGGAAACTCTTAGCCACCAATCTCTAATTCCGATTGAAAACATCGAGAAAGTTGATAACGGTCAACAAACATCTCCCCGAGTAACTGTAGAACAAGCAACGTATATTTCTGATAAAATAGATAAATTTACATCGGACAAAATACAACAAACAACACCGAGAGACTACCCTGAAGATGTTATTGCTGACATTAAAAAAGATGTATGCACTACCGATCGCGTGCAACAAACATCTCCTCGTGTATATTCTGATGATTCAATTTCGACTTCTACTGATGAGCCTTATGAAATCCATCTAAGAGCACAAATCTCAATTCCTCAAGCTACAGACGACTTCATTAATAATGAACGTCAAATTCAAGAAGCACCTCAATCAATATCTGGGGATAAATCTAAGCCTAAGAAAAGACGACACAGAAAGAAAACAGATACTCCATTACATTCTCCTGGAAGCCTTTCTGATCCCATTAATGCGGAACTTTCAATTTCGGTAACACCAACTAGTGAAGATCTATCTAGTAGAGAAACAACTTCTATCGATGAAGGGATATCGCAAATAACAAGTCCAGTTGCACCTCAAGCGCAGCAGTTTGTGGCCCAACCAAAACTTACATATTCCGATGTTGTTCAAAGATCAAAATCTAAATCTCCTTCACCCACCAAAACCATTCTTCCGTTAATAAAATCAGAGAAAGCTAGATTAATCAATTCAGTCGAAAAACGGACACAATCTATGGCTGAACCACAGAAAAATGTTTCAGAAGATTCATTGACCATAGCCTTAATCGAACCTTCGATGGAAACATCTTACGATCTGATAATTAATAAAGAATTAAATGATTTAAAGACAGCGATCGAACTAAGGGATAACACGAAGACAGAAAAAAGCGTACTTATTGTTATCGAAACTATTTCAATTTGGTTAGAAGAAATTCAATACAAAATACAGATAGAATCTGTTACTCAAACTAAAGTCAGCGACAAAAGTGAACGCCTAAAAGAGCTTCAAAACCATGTCGACAGTCTTAAAGAAATTTTATATATTACTGAAGTTAACGAGGAAGTAATAACTCTAATAGAGACGTTGACGCGTCAAGTTGAAGCAGTCAAACAATTGAGTAGTAACAGTTCTGTAAAAGTGAAGGAAGTAGAAAACGAATGGGGTAAATTTTTGGAAGATACAGAAATGTTAAGTCTATCCATAGAACGAGTAAAGATGCGACTGGACGATATGATCATTTTAGAGTTATCAGTTCAACAAAAACTTGACGAACTAGATAGTGTCGAATTAGAAAACGTAGATAATACGGATACGGTTAGGAAGTTGTTCCGAAGATTCCGTAGTATTGTTGAAGTTAATCCAAAACGAGAATGTCCGCTGAAGTTATATACTTGCGACGAAGATACTAAACAGATCGAAAACTCTATTAACACCGAAAGAGATCGACTCATGCAGTTAATGACGCTGGCAGAAGAATATGAACAAACATTACAAGACTTCGGCCACATAACGGACGTAGCAGAGGCTCTTCTGGACGGAAAGATAATTGTATCCGACTTGGAACATCTCCACGAAGAAATTCAGAAGCACAGGAAATTCTTTGTTAATTTAAGCCACTGCCGAGCAATACTTGAGTCCTTAGAAGATAATTTGGACAATGAAACCAGAGCTAAATTCTCGTCGCTCCATAATTCCCTACATGACAGAGCTACTAAAATAATAGACCGAGCCGCCGGGCGTGCCCAGCAGATGACGCTTGCGGCCTCACGATGGAGCGTGCTGGACCACGGTATGAAAGACGAGCAGCAGTGGTTGCGCGTCGCTCATCAAAGAATCCCGGACCTCACCAACGTTACATCTATGGATCACGAGCAATATATCAACCTCTACCAGTCCATAAGCCTCGATGTTTCTCATCACTATGCTAAAATGTTACGTCTGCTATCCATAACTGAGAGCTTACAAAATCTTATCGTCTGCTCTGGTTTAGAGACTGAATGTTCCATAGCGCTCAACACTTTGTTAACACTGCAAGATGGTATCGACTCGAGATTAACTAGGTTAAGGGCCTTTAAGGAAAATTGGATGACATACGAACATCTCATTAACAGAGTCGAAAGTTGGATGGTACTCGCGACCAGAGAATTAGAAAACATAACTCCTGATAACATCACAACGACTGCAAACTTAAGACGATTCTGGGAACTGAAAGCACAACATGAAGTACATCTCAGCTTGAAGAATGAATCCGGTGTTCAATTCGAGAAAGCTCTGGAAATACTGCCGATATCTGACGAAATGGTGCAACGACAATTCTTCATGAAGATTGAGGACAAATGGCGGGAACTAGCCTCCAGCATCGGCGACCTGCATGCTACCGCCATACAAAATATATCGGATCGCGAC